AGAACATGGAAACAGTGTCCCAACCAGAAGCACAACAGTGCCAGAGAGAGTGCCAGGAGACCAGCCCCTCATCGAGACCAACGTCACCGTCACCAAGTCAATGCCGACTCATAGGGACTGGTCGTGCTGCCCTTCTGGGTTGCCAAGGCCATTCCGCTTTATGGGGGAAGAAAGCCCGGGTCGGCCTCCTGCAGAGCGGCTGGTGGTCTTGAACTGCTCACCTTGCAGGAGGCTGCCCAATGCGAGAACACTAGGGCACCGGGCTCCTCTGTTGTTCACCAGGTCGCTCTGAGTTGGAACCGACAACACCCCCCCAACTCAGGAAAGAGGAAACGGGCTCAGTGAGGAGGGGGAGTTGCTTGCCCAGAACCACCTAGCCCACCACAGTGCTCTCCCATCCAGATCCATGCCTGGCTCTTCCAGCACATACTGCTGGGTCCCTGGGACAGGGCAGCAACTGCAGGAGCAGGGGCATGGAGGTGTGCCCCCAGCAGGCATTCCCTGCCCTCACTGCCCGCCACACTCCTTCCACCTCCAGGGTCACCAACCCGCAAGGACTTGCTAGGTCTCCCACGGGAACCAAACACCTGATTCCAGCAACACCAAGCTCAGTGTAACCAGCTGCCACGCTGTGAGGCCAGTCTGGGAGCTGGCTCATTGTCACACATGGGACGAGCCCTGCAGGCTCTCCCAGGGATCTGGGCAGCACTGGCCTCTTGCACCCAGGCTCGGTGCTCAAGGCCAGCACACAGGCAGCTCGGCAGCTGGCAGGGAGGAGGGAGAATGCCAGCAGCCCCTGGGCGAGGGCAGTGGCAAGCCGTATCTGTCCACTCCCGAGGGCTACAGGCTCTATATACAAGGGGAGGAGACACTCCACACCCCCAAGGGCCCCTCTGCCAACAGAGAGCAAGGGAGCTAAACTTAGAGGGGCAGCCTGGGCGGTGGGAGGTCCCCCGGCTTCAGCGCCACCTCCCCCCCAAGTACAACATCTCATTAGGCAAGGCTGGGCCTGCTCTGCCATACCCAGGACACAGCTGTTTGGCTTCAGCAATGGGCTCGAATGACGTGGGCTGGAAGCACTGCCAAGATCAATACTTGGGTTAGATAGGTGGGGAGGGCCGCAGAGTTCACGCTAAACAATGGGATTTCGACTAAAGCAGCCCTCCACCCCCCACCTCACCTCATCCAGGGCTGGACAAGAACACACACATTCGAGAACATACACATTCGATGACTCAGGCAGCATAGGGGTCAGCTGAACACATGTCCACCTGTGTCAGCTGAGCAGGCTCCTGTCCCACCCTCCCCACCCCACCAAGTAGCTGCTGAGGGGGCAGGGACCAGTAGGTTAATGCTCACCCCTTAAAGCAGTGGTTCTCAACCTGTGGGTCACGACCCCTTTGGGGGGGTCGAATGACCCTTTCACAGGGGTCGCCTGATTCGTAACAATAGCAAAATTATCGTTATGAAGCAGCAACAAAAATGATTCTATGGTTTGGGAGGGGGGGCGTCACCACAACATAAGGAACTGTATTAAAGGGTCGCAGCATCGGAAAGGCTGAGACCCACTGCCTTACAGGGCACAAGTCATTTCGGCCTCCATTGGAGACGATTACCTAACGTCAAAGCAAAAGGACAGCAGGGTCCTGATCAAAAGAGGGGGGAGGTGCAGAATGGAATTTTTAAATTCTCAGGACTTGAGG